ATTGGCCGAATTTAGGTGTTCAGGCTGACGTAGAACTAACTGGCCTGCAGAAGATAACGAAAAAACACCGATTTTAAGACATTTTTTTTATAGAATTTTTCTTTTCTGACAATATGGTCTGATAAATATTTATATACATGTTTAAGCCAGAATGATTTGACATTTAAATATGACTTCCCTGGGTGGGCAGGTGGAACAGTGGTTAGTGCGCATGACATGATGATGTAGAACAAATGGAATATAATGAGACCTGCCTTTTCTCAAGCATGTCTTTATTACTGCCGTTCTAAAAAGACCTATCATTTTCAAGAGTAAAAAGGTCATGTTTAACGTGCAGGTAGAGCAGTGGTTAGAGCGCAGAACCCATGTATGGAGGGTTTGAATCTGGCCTGTGGTCCTTTGCCGCATGTCTCTTCCCCTCTCTCACACCCCTTTTCCTGTCAGCCTACTGTCAGAAAAATGAGCCACTAGTGCAGTAAAAACTAAACAAACCTCATCTATACGGCTACCCTTCCTGACAGTAATAGTAATCAATAGCAGTGGTAGAAATAACAGCAGCAGTAATGTCTCTAGTAAGTCTGATGCTGCCACTAAACACCATGAACCATCATGTCTCCTTATTTAAGCCGGCCGTACATTGTCGATTTTTGCCCTTTTCAGGCTGATTCTCCAGTTGTGCAAGAATTTTTCAATCAGGCCGATTCTCAGCCTGATGGTGCGTGGTGTAGTGAACAGGGGGTAGCGAGGGGCGATCAGCCTCTAACGACCACCTCCCCATCAGGAACCGTAAGGTCAGGAGAAAATCAAACATGTTTGAAATTCAGTCGGCCGTCGTAAGGTGGTCGTGGACAAATCGCTCAGCGGGCAAACAAGGATTCTTCTTCTTCCTCTCAGAGGAAAACACAGAAGCATGGCGGGGGGGCAATGACAGACCATAGTAGCCATGTTAGCTCAGCCATGTCTTTGTCCAAATACGGTTTGGTCGTACAGTCTGAGCTGTAGCTGCGAGCAACCATTGAAAATATCGTACAGTGTACGCCCGGCTTTACAAACTGGAGCAGAAAACGAAGACCCCAGTTTTCTGTCAGTATCCTCGTTCGTCCGCCATCACTCATTAACAGGACACCAAGATAGTTCAACTCTTGGGGCAAAAACCAACAATCCAATGGAAGCAGTCAGTCCAGCTCTGGTGAAGCGCCACGTCGTTAGACTTGGACTCTCAATCCAGCTGTTTCAGACTTATCTCTAGTCAGAGTATCGTGTCATGAAGAGACCAACAGAACCAAAATGAACCAAAACAAATCATTAAAAAAAGGATAACTGATATACTGAGGTTAACTAAGTAGACCTAACCCTTCTGGATACCTATGAGATCAGTAAACAACAGGAAAGGGACCCTATCAGGGTATTAAAAGACAAAGCTCTTGGTTTAGGTGTTTCAGGGCTGGTTAGTCCTCTGTATCACTCAGATACTTCATACTCCCTATAAAACCTGAAGGTCTCCTACCTCAAACTAGCAAAATCGTCACTGATGATCTGCGGATCTTTGGCTTCCTGCGCCCAAAACTACATGAGATCCACTGAAGCCGCTTGCTTGGATGGGTCGACAGGATCCAGGAGGATCCAGGAAGACATACAGTAGGACCATCCAGAAAAATTCAGGAGGATTGAGGATGATTCAAGATGACCCAGGCGGAATCAGGAGGATATAGGAGGATCCAGTAAGATTCAGGAGGACTTAGAGCATTGCAGGTCTGCATGGATGGACTGAAACACAGCTTTCTCCCCATGGCTGAGAAAGAAACGGCTGTAGGAACAAACACTACTACCTCCCGTTCCAAAATATGGACCACTGCAAAGGTTTAACACAAACCTTCCATCAAACATCATCCAGGAGGATCCAGGTCTATAGAGATACTGCTATACATAACTTTGCTGAGTAATATTATTCTGAATAAATCCCCCCCCCCTGGTCATGAACTCTGACTGCAGAGCAGCTAATTGGCTTTAAAGTGGAATTAAAGATTATCTTTGGAAACCTGCTGCTGTTCTCCTGGCTAAGCTGAAAGCCTTAAGGAAACACATGCATCAGGTTTCCCCACAAAACTAACCAGAACCAGCTGATTCCCAGTGGGAACGGCTTCCTGCTGGTAAACTGCTGGTTGGGATGGTAGAAACCAACAGAAGGACTAACCTGTAGACAATAAATGACTAAATGACACATATTAAAACCAGAGTTTAAAGGTATTTACAGCATATGAACACAGGCAATAGCTCAGATGACCAAAAGCAGCAGGACTTTGACCCACCTTTTTGAGGCAGTGCGTCCGCGGCCTGAAATGCTGCCCCCTGTTCGGACGCGCCGTTCTGATTGTCATACCTGCTCCCTGATCAAAACCACATCAGACTGAGTCAAATTAAATATCGGAGCGACACGTCCAAGCTTTAATGGTTGCAGAGAGACGAGTGAGTGCATGCAGAGGAACGAATGCGCTCCTGCTGAGCAGATTACAGGAAGTTAATCCACCAATCAGCAGTCAGATAAACCCCCAGTGATTCCAGTAAAAAGCCAGGCTGGGAAGATACCAGGCTGTTGGCAGTAGCTTCAGCTTTAATGAACTCTAGATGAGGCTGTTTTTCTGTCTTCACTTCAGCTTCCTAAGGTGGGAAAATATTAGACTAAATAGTTGGTTCCCCTCATTTAGTGAAAGAAAACCTGCTATTCTATTCTATTCAGTTTATTTCTATAGCTCCAATTCACATCATGTCATCTCAGGTCACTTTCCAGT